TCTTGCATTATGACTCAGTTGTTAAGGGAACACGATTAGTCACAAGGTACCTGTGAGTAACAATATGCCCCTCCACTGGAGGGAGGGAGGGAGGCAGGGAGGGAGGGAGGGAGAGGAGGAGGAGGAGGAGGAGGAGGAGGAGGAGGAGGAGGAAGAAGAAGAAGAAGAAGAAGAAGAAGAAGAAGAAGAAGAAGAAGAGAGAGAGAGAATCCTCACTTTACAACTGATTGCTTAGTGACTATTCAAAGTGATGATGGATATCCCCCAAAGTACTTACAACTAGTTCACAGGTCTGGTGGCTGGACCATCCCACAGTCACATGATCATAATTTTCAGCTTTTTTTTTTGGCCAATTTCCAGCATTTGCTTCCAGTTTCCGGTAAAAGAACATCAATGAGATGAAGCAGATTTGTTTAAACAAATGCAGCATTTACTTACTTACACAGTGACCTGCTTAATGATTTTCATGACTTACAGCCACAATTCTTGGATCAATTGCTGGTTTGCTGCAGAGCAAAGTTCCTGCCTCTAGTATTAGAGCAACCACAGAAAGATTCAGGTAGGATGGTAGTTAGCATCCTGAAAGATTTGTTCTTCTTTTCATAAATGGCTATTTTCAAGTATGCCATGATCTCTGCATTCCAATTATGTCCCAGACTTAAAGATTGCTTTTGGTCTGGGACATAAGAGCCATGGTGGCACAGTGGTTAGAATGCAGTATTGAAGGCTATTTCTGCTGACTGCCAATGCCAGCAGTTCGATTCTCACTGGCTCAAGGTTGACTCAGCCTTCCATCCTACCGAGGTCATTAAAATGAGGACCCAGTTTGTTGGGGCCAATATGCTGTGTAAATCATGGGTATGATTTACACAGCATATGTGTAAAAAATATGACTCTGTAAATCATGGGTGTCAAACTCGCCTCATCATGTTGCTATCATGTGAAGTTCTGCAATGTTTTCCCCCTTCAGGGAGCTGGGGTGGGTGTGGCCTGCACGTGATGCATCCAGCTTCAGGCCATCAGTTTGACATCCCTGCTGTAAACCACTTAGGGAAGGCTATAAAGCTCTGTGAAGCAGTATATAGGTCTGAGTGCTATTGCTATTGCTTACTTTTTTTTCTTAAGTTGAAAACTTTCCCAAACATTTTCTCTAAGGAAGAAGGAAAGGTTATATTATCATCCTGTTGTGGCCCAGCAACGGCCTGTGCGGATTGTTGCTGATCCCGATGACGAGGAGGCTGGTGTGGTGTCGCACCAGCAGTCTGTGGAGCTGGCGCTCGAGTCGGACAGCAAGGAGGCTGAAGAAGATGTAGTGCCAGAGGCAGGGATTCAACCAGGGCCTTCAGAACCTCCAGAGGCTCCTTTAAGTGAAGAGGATGAAGTGGAGGAGCTTCTTCTCAATGTACGAGCACACAGAGCTGCCAAAAGGCAGGAATGGTTACTCAAGAGGAGGTCTCCTCGAGAGTAAGGCTTGGGGCTAATTGGCCACTCCCTTAGCCTATTTAAGTTTGCACACAGCTTGTAAAAAACTGCAGGAAACAACGTTCATTCGTTCGCTGATCATTGAGTTTGGATTTTCTCTGCAACTCTGACTTCTGGGCTTTCTGCCAACTCTTGTAAGACTCTATCTTATCTGTGGAATTTCTGGCAGGTTGTTAAGAACGTTTTATTAACAGCCTGCATTTGCAAAAGACTGTGTTTTGAAGTAAACTGAGTTTTGTTCGGAGTTTGTATGTGCTATATTCTTTGGCATCCATAGCTGGGGCAGAACACAACCATATACAAGTGTTTGGGGAGATGATAGCTGCAAGTGGTCACTGTGGCATGAGCATGGGGCAAGGTAGTTTGGGCAAAGTAGAAAGTGGGCATGTGTCTCCCTTAAAACTCACCCAATAGGTTAAAACAGGCAGAAACCATCAGGGATAAGCAGTCCTGTAAATATTTTATTTATTTCTTTATTCATCACATTTCTATACAACCTTTGTCATAGAAAATGCTTCTGGACAGCATACAACAATAAAAAAATCACATCATATTATACATGTGGCTGTTTTTTCTGATATACTTTTATTGATTGATTTACTCCCATATTATTTTCCTATAATATATGGAATTCCCCCCCCCCCCCTTTTGCTATTATAAGTGTGAATCTCTTCTAGGTGTGGTAGGACAGTATAGCTGACAGGCAGTTTCCATTCCTGGACAAAGATAATTATTGTGTAGTGTCATTATGTGGCATTAGCTATTCAACCAGAATTTGATAATGTATGAAATGAACACTGTGCTGAGACAGAGTTACATCTATTAGCAAGTGTGTGTTGTGCTTTTGGGGAAAGAGAGATGTTAATTGTCCTATATATTACAATCTAATTCTCAGTGCATTCTGACTATGTAGTAATGTCTATTTCAAATATAAGTAATCTCACTGAAATGGAAGACTTTCGTGGTTTGCGTTCCTAGCTGGATGAGTAATTTTTAATCATAACTCCATCCATCTGGAATACATTTACAGAGCAAACCTAATGTGTCTTTAACTAGTCCAATGTTGGAGCACTTAGAAAAGCCCAAGCCTTTGCTGGCTGTAGCCCAGCAGGATGGAGGTAGACAAAGTAATGTTTGTACAGTATTTCTAGATCCAGTTCCAGGTTTGGCTTCAACTCCATCAACCCTGGTTTTAGTCTCCCTTGTTCATCCCCAGCATCATTTTTTTTGCGGCTTTTCGAAATTGGGATTTCCTGACCTCTGAAACAATCAACTTGGAGAAGGAGGGGGAACCGATACAAGATTTCCCTTCTCTGAGGTTGAATGGGATTCTGATTCAGGACGGCAGAAGTTCCTGGGATATTATCTCAGAGGACTCATAAGACTGCACACTTTGGGATCACTTAGTATAAATATTGGCAGACCGATGATCTGACTCAGTAACCACTATAATTTCAAAGGCACTGATAAGCATATGCAGCTTTTCCATTTGCAAAGTTGCCCATTTTCTCAAAGCAAATGAAACTTTGTATGAGTTTCAAAAGGAAGCTGTTGAAAGTTATGTCGGGGCTGAATAGTGCATCAAAATGCCAGTTACTGCCACTTTCAAAACAAAACTTGTCAACCTCTCTCCCATAAACTATGTAAATTCCATATCTAAAAGATTTAGTGGAGTCTAGGGTATCTAGAATATAAGTTTTTTAACTTTGCCTTTGGATTCCTTTTGTAGCGTTAAAGAGCTACTCATTTTTAACATCCCTGATCCCTGGCAATAGCAAAATGATCTGTCTCAGTAGACACAGCCATATTAACTATAATTTTTAACAACAACAAAAAAATTCTTCATGTTGTGTTTATGAAGACATAGACATTGTTATCTTTGGGGCACCAGAAAATCCATTTTAACCTCGTAAAGTTTATATAAAATGGATGTTTGTTTTTCCCCAAGTAATCTAACTATCATTTTACTACTGTTATTATTAAAGGTTTATGATTGCCTTTTTGCTCTAATGCTTTAAACCACAATGGAAAACAGTATTTACTTTTTATTAATCAACAAGTAAATAAAAAAATTCTCTTACAGATATCAGATTTTGGGACCTGAATTTTTTTTTTAATGTCTCAGAGGCCTCTGTCTTAAAAAACAACATCAAAGAACAAATACTGAATCGTTCTTGATTTGAATTAGGAAGGCAAACTTTATATTCTTTGTGTTAGAAACCACTTGGCAAATTGCTAGTTCGAGTAATACAGAATTTAAGGCTATGTTTATGTTTCTACATGCAGAAGATTGATCCCACTGCTGGCTACCTTCAGATTGGTCCTAGGGGCAAGCATGCCAGAGTCTAACTATGATTTCAATGCTGCTCTAAATTGGAAAACAGAGATAACTCTTTCTTTGCTTGTTCTCAATAAGGATTTGTGTAGCCTAAAGATGTGGCACTTGGAGTTCCCACTTCATTAAAATGAATGATTTATGAATTCACAATTCACTATTCACCTTGCACATCAACTAATCTGGCAGTAAAGTTCTTTGAGTTTCTTTGCAAACTGGCATGTAGAAACTTCCCACATTGTTAGTCAGAGACCACAAAACACCTTTCACTTCCTCTGAAAAGGTTATATATTGAGCCACAGCTGTCATATATTTAATATACTTCTAAAGAAAATGGAGAGCCTTATAGAACCAGACTATCCAATAAAAGGCAGAGAGGGAGATAGGGGAAGTGCTGCAATAGGCAGGCACTTCAAACCTTTTCTATCTGTATTGCTGTTTGTTGCAAAGAAGCTTAACTATATCATTATGGCTGGCAGATGACTGTTTCATCTATAGGATTCAACCACCCTCATTCAGAAGGTTGCATTTATTCTCCTACCTAATCTTTGAGTTTTTCTCTTTAGGGTCTTTGCTATTTTTTTTAAAAAATGCTTCTGCAAATTCTGGAGTTTCTCTTAGCTTGCCAATAATCCCCTGTGTTTTATACAGTAGGTATTGCTACTTCTTGGATCCACATTACAAATGTGAACTTTAGCAATAGAGATTATTACATGAACTGTTTTTACAGTCAATTCTTGTTCATGTTTTTCTTATGTAGTTTGTTTACATCTTGTTTGGGTTAAGGGCCCTTCAGTCATCACCATGCAGGAATGAAAATGTCAAAAGCATTTAAACTGACATTGCAATTTTGTGCTCCAACCTGCTGCTTTCTGGATGTGTAGAATAACATCCCCCAGAGTATTCAAAAATTCTGGCTGAGGAGTTTGAGTATTTTAGTCTCAATATTCCTAGAGAGCATCAGATTGGGATAGCTGTCTAAGGAATTGCTTTTTTTTTTTTTTTGTATGTTTAGAACCAACTCTAAAAGCATTTGCAGGTAAGCAGGAGTATTTTAATATGGATCACAAGAAAAGACTATTTTTAGGAAATAGCTTCATTTTGCGTAAAAATGTCTCAATCTGTAAATTAAAAAAAGAAATCAAAAGTTAAAAAAAGAAAACAAAATGTTTTTCCCCCCCAGAATGTTGCCACAAGAGGAGTTTGTGAATCAGAACATGCAGGACAAGACAGCTCAACACATCTTGCTGAGATTTAAGGATGGATTGCAAATTAGTCAAAACGACGAAGGCATTGTTTCAGAAAGTGGTTCCCACTCCAGCTTGCTAATTAATCAAGGAAAAAAAGCCTCATCAAGGAACAGTCCAACAACAAGAAGCAGATTAAGACAAGGTTGTCCTGAAGGTTAAACATGTGCAGGTTTTAAAAATTAAATAACTAACAGTACAGAGTTTCTATCATCCACTTGCCTTTGTATGTAACATTGCAAGTTTGAATGACACTGGCAGAAGTTGGGAGTTACATGAGGCCTGTCAAATATATTGCCCTTCATTATTTCTAGCACGGAAAGATAAAAGTGTGCTGATTGCTCTTATGGGTGGAACTTTAGTTTTAAGCTTCTTTGACAGATCCTCCACACACCCCATGAGAACAAAAGGCTCTTCCCATGAAGGTTATATATATATATAAACACTTATTTAACATGTAGCGCTATCAGAAGTATCCTTAATCTAAACCTATTTTAAGGAGAATGTTGAGACCTGGTGCAATAATCGTCAATCTGAACATATAAAGAGCGTGTTTCATTCTCAGGAAAAAGTAACAATCATAGTTTTTCAGTTGAGGTTATGAAGAAGGCTTTCCAGTCTCCAAAGATATTCCTGGAAATATGCCAAATCTCATTTGTTAAGTGAAAGGCTAAGTAAGGCTCTATTAGATCCAGATGCTGACCCTTGCATCTTCTCATGCAGCTCTCTTGGAAGTTCCAGGTTCATGTGTCCAATTATTTAAATTAAGGTGATAGAAGGGCAGGATACAGTGCCAGTCTATAATCTGCTGCCTGAATACAGCCCAAATCCTCCCTTCCACAGCTAGAAAAAAAATTGTGTAAGGCTTAGCCTTAACACAATCAAACATCAAGATTATTTGATTTCTGCTATTCCTTTCTTATCTCCGTTGTCCATTGAAGAAAGACACTTTATCCTGGTACATGGTAGAATATAATAATAATAATCATCCAAATTCTCCCTGAATTTGAATTGCACACTTTTTGATTTTTTAAAAATATTTCCACAGCCCGTTATTGTTTCTTCTCAAGAATCATTACAAGATCTTTGGTGGAAGAGTAGCAAAGATGGAGAAATTTCCCAAACCAAATGAAATGATAGATAGTTGAACAAGCGGTTCTGTTATTTAGAGAAGAAAATATTAAAGAGAGACATGATTTCTGTCTTCAACAGCTGAACTACTGATGTGATGGAGCAGAGTTGTTTTGAGTTGAAACAGACTTTAACCACCAAGTGGAACATGTATAGAAGTAGAATTCAGGAAAATGTTAGAAAAGGCTTTATCATAGTAGGAGGTATCTCACAGTGGTTGTGTGGGCAGTTTTACACTACTCCAGTCTTCAATTACCCTTTCTATGTGTGTCCCTAACAATATACATTGCCTCTTTCATATCTAATGCTAAGCTAGGCACTGCTTTGTAAACCATAGTAGCAAGAAACATAGATTACATTAAGCTAAAATCAAGCAAGCCAATTGGGGTGTGTAAATCTAGTCACTATATGGATTGTACAAATATCATTCTGTTATTATTTTTTGTTATAGTTTTGTCCTGTGTTGCTCTGAAGTAAGGGCAAAATATCTAAGATTAGAATTACTGGGGTTATTTTGAAGACATATAACATAGCTACTTTAGGGAAGCTGAAGATGTGTTAGTTGATAATCACTGGATAAGCAATAATCTGGGTTTTCCATGGGTATTCCCATGATGTGAAAAAGTTACAGTGATCATTAAGCTGCTTGTTTGTTTCAAACGCTTTAAAGACATTTCAGCCATACAACTCTAAACTGAACCAGTGATTTATGCCCTTGTCATCAGCCATTTAGACTACTGTAATATAGTCCACAGGAGGATGCCTTGAAAGACCTCTTGAAGACAACAGCTGGCTCAGAAGTCAGTGGTCCATGTGCTAATTGACACTGCTGTTAGGAACACACTACAGGTATATCTCCCAATGAGTTTGATAGTGGTTAACAATGGAAGCAGTTTAAATGCTGGTGCTAACCTACAGAGCCCTAAATCGTTTAGCATTAAATTATTTGGAGGTCTATATTTTTCCATTAGAATCAGCTACACTGATTAATCTGTACAAAACCAATAGCAGTTGATCTGAAAGAAACTAATAGTGGTGGGAAGGTGGGGAGAAAGCTTGCTGGTGCTATTTTTCAGTAGCCGCGCTGGTCCTCCAAAATGGTCTCCCAATGACACCCAAGGCTCACATCCTGATTTCCTTCCAGGAACAGCTCAAAATTAAGTAATCCAGAGAACATTTGAGATATGATTCCATGGTGGTTGGGTTATAGTTTTACTTTGCTAACTAATGTAATTCTATATTTTTAATTGGTTTGTATCAGTGATGGGTTTCAAATTTTTTTACTACCAGTTCGGTGGGTGTGTCTTGGTGGGTGTGGCATGGCTTGGTGGGTGTGGCTTGGTGGGTGTGGCAGGGGAGGTTACTGTAAAATCTCCATTCCCACCCCACTCCAGGGGAAAGTTACTGCAAAATCCCCATTTTCTCCCGATCAGCTGGGACTCAGGAGGTAGAGAATAGTTGGGGGAGGGGCCAGTTAGAATTTTTACTACTGGTTCTCCGAACTACTCAAACTTTCTGCTACCGGTTCTCCAGAATTGGTCAGAACCTGCTGAAATCCACCTCTGGTTTGTACTCTATAATTCGTGTATCTTCTTTTTATTGTATATTGTTTTATTATACATTTTATCTTGTGAACCACTGAGATTCCTTCAGAACAGTGGTAGTTTAAAAATGAGATAACTAAAAATAATAAATGTCCCGCAGTAATGTTTTTGGACAATTTGTATTAGTAAGATGAAATTAATAAAACCAAAAGGCCTGGATTTTGTAGATGAAAAAGGGATACAGCTTGTAGCATCTTCTTTCAGTTTCTTGCATCCTGCATGATATTGCTATTGACAATAGGGAAGCAATTGTGGGTTGAACTGGTTCATCCAGTATAATTTGTTGACTTGTTCTTCTTCCCATAGTTGTTCTTGTAATGCTTTGCCATTATGCATGTATTTAATTTGTAAGTCACAGAAGCAAGGATGCAGATGCGAAGGAAGCGAAAGCTGTACCTTTCTCTGCATAGGTAGCATTTTTTAAATAATTCTGAAATGTAAAGAGAATCAGTGGGTGAGTCTCTATATATTTCATTTCATCTTGGGAACAAGATTAGGTAATTTGAAAATCAAAATCCAGACATCAAGTCACACAATGAGAATTTTGGAAGCACCACTACTAAAGCTGTCAGTGACCACTTAATTTGATTAAAGAATGAGAAATCCTAGTCATCACATGCCTGAAACATCACACTTTCTGAGAACTCAAAACCCTTTAGCCTAAATCCAGATGTTGAAGGACTGATTGTGGTGAGAAATAAAGGGGAAAACCATCTGTGCAACCCTGGTTTTCCTCATTACCTTTTGTAAACCCTTCATTTATTCCTTCCTAATCCATTTTCTGAACTGTTTCCCTACTCTGCTTTCTCTTTGGGATGTTTCTCCTTCCCTCTTTTTCTCTTTCCTTCTTTCTTTTTCTCTAGCCCTCTATGGTGGGCTTGTGACTCCTGTGTCTATGTGCAGGACTTTTATGGCTCTTCTTTTCTGCCAGAGCAAAGGGAGGTCTACATTTGGCAAAAGCCAAAGACTTTTTTTGTAAAGCACCTTAGTGGTGCAGTGGGTGGAATGCCATATTGCAGGCTGATTCTACCCATAGCCTGGAGTTTGATCATGATGGGGCTCAAGGTTGACTCAGCCTTCCATGCTTTCGAGGTCAGTAAAATGAGGACTCAGATTGTTGGAGGCAACATGCTGACACTGTAAACTGCACAGAGTGTGCTGTAAAGCACTATGGGGTGTTATATAGAATATTTTTCCCCTGTTAGCATCATTTCATTTTGCTGTTGCTGGTTTGACTGTAGCATGTAGGGGAAAGAAAAAAACCTTTTCAAACAACTTCTTTCCATGTATGCTTCTATACTTATCATACCAGGCAGGAGCTATAATAATAAGACTAGATTATGGATATGGCAGTACATGGAAACAGCAGAATAGAAAAGAAAGAACTGAAGAAAAATCACAAAATGCAAAGAGAAGTAGAACAACTGTGGTAAAAGAAAGCAAAGATAATACTTATAGTAATAGGCGCCTTAGGTGCAATCCCAAAATATCTAGAGCCCTACTTGCACCCCATCAGCATTGACAAAATCACCATCAGTCAATTGCAAAAGGCAGCTTTACTTGGAAAAGCTTACATCCTTGAGAAGGACTTGATAAGAGAATAAAAATGCCAAATCCAGTCTAAATATCTGGCTGACTGAGTGATCAACCACAATAATAGGATTTTCACATACAAACTAATTGCTGTCTAGAATGCAAATGCACAAGTTATTAACAGTAATTGAAATGGAAAAAAAATCATTCCTGTAGATGCAGCAATATCCATAGAAAGCAGTACTGAGGAAAAAGAATTGGAAAACTGACAAAATATTGAGATATAATGATCAATTCTATGTAATAATTTCTTTAGTTAATGCAGCATTAGGCAAAATAACAAACAGATTAAATACGTTTTTGTAATGATTAGATATTTTGGCTATATCAGCAGTGGGTTTACAGCCCCATTCTCCTAAATGGCTGGGCACATCTTATATCTTATATTTTTATATTTATTTATTTATTTATTGAGTACGTATTAGACAATATATGTAAGTATAAGCATGAATTGAATACATAAAATGAATACAATTAAAGGGAACATTAGGACAGGGACGGAAGGCATGCTGGTGCTCTTATGCACACCCCTTATAGACCTCTTAGGAATGGGGTGAGGTCAACAGTAGACAGTCTAAGGTTAAAATTTTGGAGGTTTTGGGCTGAAACCACAGAGTCAGGTAGTGCGTTCCAGGCATTGACCACTCTGTTGCTGAAGTCATATTTTCTGCAATCGAGTTTGGAGCGGTTCACTTTAAGTTTGTATCTATTGTGTGCTCGTGTATTGTTGTGGTTGAAGCTGAAGTAGTCATTGACAGATAGGACATTGTAGCAGATGATTTTATGAGCTATGCTTAGGTCATACTGATGGCGGCGTAATTCTAAATTTTCTAAACCCAAAATTTCAAGTCTGGTGGCATAAGCTATTTTG